AAAAAAAAAGAAAAAGAGAGGAAAAAAATAAAATCTCTGGTATTTTCTAGTGCCCTGTGGAAGAAGGAAGAACATGTGGCTGGCATCCTGGGAGAAAAATCTCCTTTTGGAAAATACTGAGAAAGTCAAAGACTCAGGACAACAGCAAGAAATACAGCAATGTCCAATAACTGGTAAGTCTATGGTCGTGTACAAAACTAAGGCTTTCTGTCAGGCAAAACATATAATCCACATTTAATTAGCAAGAGTCACATTTTCATTAAGATTTGTAATTAAGTACTTATGATACTGAGGGTTGCAGAAGAAAATTTAGGTGCCTAACAGTGTCTTAGGAAGACAAAAAAAAGAAAACCCAAATCATCTTGACTTAACCACCCCCCCCCCTCCATTTTGTGAAGCCTGGGGACCACCCTTGCTGATGTGTCCATGTAGTGTGACTGCTGGTTGTACTGCATCCCTTTAAATTTTTCTGCACTGTGTGTAGCACAATCAAGAACATTTAATACTCTATGAAGCAAAACCACTTGGATTATGGACAGAACTGTTCTACTGTTGTCTTTTTCTTTCAAAACTACCTTCAGAAGTGGCAGCAGTTGACTTTCTCAAAAGTTTTAACCAACCAAACTCTGATGATACAACTTTAAAGCATTTCCCATTAGGTTAAAAGAAGTGTTCCATTAGGTTAAAAGAATTAAGAACTGCATTCTTATATTTTGGGAAATTTGCTCAACACCATGAGCTTATGACAGAGCATGTCACAGCAAGGACCATAAGATACTGGTAATCACAAAAAAGAAATCCAAAAGGATGCAAAAGAAGGCAGACATTCACACTTTGCCCTTAGATAAGGGCAAACTGCCACGTGGAAAAAAGAATTTAAGTCTTAGAGAGGTAGAGACACACTGTAAATAGCCTTCAGGGTCTCAAATCTGATTTAGAAGGTAGTACAAATTCGGTGGAGGCATTTCAGAACTTAAACCACCACTGAAATACACAGCATTAAAGATTTCCTCAGCAAGAACACTGCTTTTCTTTTAGCCATTTTTAATTTCCAAGCCTGTGACTCAGAGGTGCCATTTAAAGGCCTTGACAGCCCTCTACAAGATGGCAATTCCAGCTCCACTGAAGACTAGGTCAGCCTACTTAGAAGAAAAATCTTTAGGTGTCAGCAAGTAAAGACTGTCTCCAATCAGCCTGTTGAAAATTCATCACTGCAAAACAAGCAACCAATCAACAAAAAAACCCAAACCAAAACAAAAAAACAACAACAAAAAACTAAAACCAAAACAAAAAACAACCCAAAAAACCCAAACCAACCAAAACAACAACAAAAAAGTTAAAAAAAAAAAAACCAAACAAAAAAAAAAAAAAAAACCACTCGCCACCAACCAATTCAACATATTCCACCCCCACCTCTCCCCACCCCACCCCAGAAAGGCTTAAGTGCAGCAAGTGTTCTGTATTGCACTGCCCTGGTGCAGCTGCTCTGCTAACCCAGCCTCAGCCTGAATAAGGACAATCACAAGGACTGAAAAACTGATATGCTAAACTTTTACACCTGAATTCAAGTTATGTTGAAACAAATCTCTTGCTGAATTTTTTTGCTAGCTTTCAACCAAGTAACATGTAACTCTAAAAATGTCTCCCACCTCCATCGTGAAGGAGGCAATATTTTGGAGCATCTTGTTTATGCATCAGATGAAACATTTTTTCCTAGACTCTGACGTTTGTGCTGCCCATGTGCAAACCAAGGCACCTAAGTGCAATGTCAGGCTCTCCAGAGCACCAGTGAGCCCTTGAGATAAGCCACACAGACCAGCTCCTTCTTCCATGTGGCACTGTCAGCAGAGTACCACTCAGAAAGGTTTCATAAACAGCAATGTGAACTTTACTCTTTCATATGAATATACCAGATAATAAAAAGACAGGGTTGCAAAGCACACTTTATCATACTGACTTCCCACATATATATTTTCCTTTTTTCCTTTTTTTTTTTTAAGCATTGAATATTAACATCCTGTTGCTCCAATGGATGCTTTTGAGGATGTCCACATTCAATCTACACCAAGCGGTGGAGAAAGGAGCTTAGAACCTTAAAAGCCTCTGTTTCCTGTGTGTCCACAGCAGAGTACAACTTCTTACCTGTTTCCTTAAGTCCTGAGCCGATCTGTGAAGAGGGTGGTGGTTGTTAGCCGTGAGCCCTTTCGTAGAGGAGCCAGTGTTTGTAGTAGCGTGGTGATTAGCAGCAGCCTGGTCTTTTCGACCCTCAGCCTTATGTTCGCTGTTCCTCTCCTTCCCTGGGGTGGCCTCTTTGCTTTTGTGTTTCTGAGCAGGTTCTTTCTCCTTCGATGATTTGCTGGACCCATTGAAAACTGAGAAGAGAGAAAATCAGGTTATTAAGGGGAAAAAAAAAGAAAAGAAAAAGTATGCAAGACCAAACACTTCATTCAAAACATCACAATTTTCTCTGCTCTCAGTGTTGCATATTTAGAGAATGCTTTCTTACATCTAAAGTTAAATCAATCTAGAAATAGCACTATTTTGCATATTTCTTTAGATGAACAGATTTACTAAACTATTTCCTCTGCTTGTTAGCACACATTATCTTCAATATCCAAATTAAAACATATAAGGTATATTACTGTTTTGACTGACCTAGATTTAGAATTATGAGTTTGATTTTTACTTATGACAGTTTTAATTATATTTTTTTTGCTCTGGCAGTGAGGGAATTCTAAACATAACCTAAACAGAAAAAAGATTTATTTTTATACCAATGTAGAAGAAAGGAAACATTCCATGAAAAAGCATGTTTTGTTTTCATCAATACCCAAACTGCTGAATCAAACTGACAGCAGTTTGCCTATAGCAGACAAGCTGCAAATAGAAAAAGGTACTTCTGCAAAAAAAAGGAGAATACTAAAACCATTTTGGAACATGGGACATGAAGTAACACTGGGACCTATGCTGAGCACTGTAACCTTTAAATTAAGGGATAAGAAAGTGTGGAACAGACACCTTTACTTTTTGTACAGTAAATATTATGCAAATGTATACAAACAAGTTTTGCTCTGTCTCTCTGCTGAATTTAAGAAGAGTCACTGCTCTTCTGTTGTCAGGGAACATGAAAAGCTGAAGCTAAAACAGACAAAAAAAAATCACATTTCTCTGTTTGTTAATCAAAAATGCGCTGAATTAATGTCAGTGATGCACCCTCTTCAGTGGAGCACTTGACAGAGATCCCCAAGACTTGTGATCCAGCATCCACAATGGCAAATGCCCTTCTGCCTTTTACTCTTGATTTCTACCCCTGTCTTTCTTTGACACAGTTTAGGAAAGGATGCAAACAAGAAACTTCATAAATACTTAATAGCACAACTATGTAAAAATCTTATTTATTACACACAACACACACCATCTGTTTGGGAATAGTAACTAAATGCACAAAGTTACTGTTCTCTTGTGAAATTAAAGCTTTATTTTGTCACTAAAGGTGATATTCCTACAACACATATCTTCTTATCTAAGTTCTGAAGCTTAGCTGTCTCTACTGATGTACAGTATTAACAGTAGGAGCAACAGTAAGAGTAGTAACAAAAACCAAACAATCCTGCTGGACAGAAGAGGGGCAGCTAAGCTGCTTTTGGGCAGATTCTACCTCCAAACCTTCCCAAGCAGCTATTCAGCTTCCTGCAGCCAGAACCCCAGCAGGATATCGACAAATTTGATTTTCCAGTCACTTGTATTTTCAGTTCCCTTATCATATTCAGACAGTCATAAGTGTTGAAGCAGATTACTCAAAAAAGAAAAAAACTGCAATTGCTTTTCCTCCTCTCTCCCTTCCCACCTGCATAAATGTAGTAAGAATGAGAGAAAAGCTGTCAGCAGTGGAGTCACCATGAACTTCCCCATGGTTCTGTCACTCCTGAGCTCAGGAGCAACTGGTGCTGCCCCAGCCAGCCAAGGACTTCTCAGTGGTTTCTGTGAAAATCGCATAATCCTTTGTGTCTCATTTCCAGTGATGGAACTGATAGTAACTGCAAACCCCACTCAGGAAGTTCATGACAATACATTCATCCTCCTTTGTAAGGAATTCTCACATCAGATGCACAAAGCACAACTATTTTTAATAAGACATAGCACAAACAACCAATGGCAGCTTTGTTAATATGTATTTTATAATTTAGAGTGGTATCTTCCTTTGAAGGGAACAAATCGTATTTACTGATCTGCTCCTACGGAAACATTCAAGTCAGAGAGATTAAATTTCTGTAATCAGTTGCTACTTTAAATATAGAAGATTACCAAAACAGAAAACACAGCCAAAAAGTCAAATTGTGCACTTCTCAGGTTCACAAAAAATTTTTTTAAAAAAAGGAAGCAAACATAAGACAAGGTATATTTTATATGCAACAGCTCATTAAATTTAAGTGTCGTGGGAACGCTGCCAGTTTTACCCTCTGAGTAATTATCTTTTGTCTTAATTTGTAAGATTCTTGAAAGGGGGAAGAGAGATACAGGAGGAAAAAAATGTTCAGTCTCACAGGAAAAGCTTAAAAAGCTAGTGTCTGAAAATACAACAAAGGGAGATGTAGATGCAAAACAGTTTTTACCACACTGTCTTCTAGTTAAACAGTAGATGGTATCAGTTTATATAAAAATCAGTATTTGTTTCTTGTAACACCTAGATTACTGTTATATCCAGCTATTTTATATCCAGCTATGAAACCTTTCCACAATAGTAAGTTCTGGAAAATTCACAAATATACTATGTGAGCAACTATCAAAATATTAACTTGATTAATTACAAAATGCAATTGCAAGCCAAGCATTTAGGGGTGGAAAAAATCTCTGAGACTATGATTTTTCTCCGGTCTCACTAAAAACGTTGAAGCAAGTTATTTACACCATAAATTTATTTAGTACAATACATAATTAAACTCTGGCCCCAACAGCTAGTAAGTCAGTTCAGAGAAAAAAATGTATCACCAAACAAAGACCAACCCCACCCCTCAGAATCTTGTTGTTTAAGAGTAACTGATAATAAGCCAGCAACACCCACTTCTCAAAGGAAAGAAAACAATAACCCCAAAAACCTCTGCAGTAAATATTACTGAGACCAAATTTGATTAAACAATGAAACTATTACTAATTCTTTTGTGCCTTCTTATGCAGCAAACGGCATTCTCCTTCATGTCTGCCAGCTCCTAAATATTTCTGATGCACTCAGAAAATCAGGAAAGGTATACGTTGTGCTTTATGAACCCAAACATCTGTGTTCCAGGAAAATCTCCCATGTTAGAAATAAGTCTGACATGCCAATATCCAATGTTCTGTTCCCATTCACTTTAGTTCCTTGCTAAAGAGTAGTCAATAAAGGTATCACCCTTGAAGCAATAATTTCACTAAAAGACAGAAAGGCAAAAAACCAAGCCCAACCTACATGAGTGGTGAAACTTAGATTCCTGAAGCAGAAATGATGTGTAGTCTTGAATTACGATTATTTTATGCTATCTTGCTCTGCATTTCCAGAACAGCTTTTAGTTAAAGGTAAGAAGCACTACTAACAAGTAATTAAAAGTGTAAGTAAATTATTAGTGTTCAGACACTCCAGATAGAATAAATGGGTATCATTATGCGTGCATCTGTTTGAATGCTTGTTCTCAAAATGCTGTGTCTTCCAAAGCTATTACTATTATTAAATTGAAACAATAAGAGTCCCACAGTGAAATACTTGTGGGTCTTTTGGTTAGCAGAGATGATCAAATGCAAAGAAACTGAACCACTACATTCAAAACTCACAAGCACTGGGGTTTTTAAACCACTGATATAATTTATGGCAGCAGAGCAAAACCTTATGGCAGGCGTGATCCTCACAGATGCCTCATAGTGCTTCCTGCATCAGGGGGACTAGACCCCAGGCACCAATATTCACCCAGGATCCCATACTGGGACTTTGAGGTATCTCATTTGAAACTGTGATAAAGAATCCCTACATAAACCAATGCAAACTGCGCAAATTGTGCCTCTATTAGGTGCAGCTATAATGACGTCTAAAAAAATTTTTTTGGTCAAGTAAAGCCACAGATGTGCTCAATTACTACAGATTAACTAAGCATTTACTACAGGAATTGACACTGTAGTGGGCAATAAACATAATGTGTTTTCAGCAATTTTCAGAAGTATTCCTACAGATTAATTTGCACACAAACACTTCACCGAATACAGCCAGCCAGCCATTCAGAAGCTAATTTATAATATGCACAATAATCAGGCTTTCACTGTGGAGGCAGCAGAATTACTGGACTGGGTTCAGTCAGCTACTGACTCCATGGACAAAGCTTTCTTTCCCAAGCCCTCCTGGACATTATTCCTGCACCTGATATGCTTTATACTTGAGATAACTGGGGAGGTTTAATATGGACTGCGGAGTACAAAACCCTTTTGCTGTGTGCCAGTGGCTGGGAGATGAATGAAGGCATGGACCATACACATACACACGTGCTGCATGTTGCAGAGCTTGCACTGCATAAAGCAAGTGATTGCGCATTCATAAAACCATCCAGAAAACAGAGGGAAGATAGAAGTGAAAGGGAGAAGTTTTGTTTTTAGAAGGAGAAAAGGGAACTTTGCCAATATTGTGAACCCGAGCCAGCTATTCCAGTGCAAGCCTCATGTTGTCACATACATCATGTTTGGGAAGACATGTAGTATTAATCAACTTTCTGGCATGGAGTATCCCTTACTGTACAAAAACATTCTTGCTCTGGCTTTAATTCAGTTCTAAGTCACTGCGAAAATATTTACGTGGCTCTCAAACTACGTTAAAGGACCCAGGCAATAACTCTTTTCCCTTCCCAGAGGAACTAGAACAACCTTATACTTCCATAAAACACAGTATTTTAACACTGCCAATTGTTTTCCTTAAATGTTGGCTATGTTCTGACTTCCATAAATCATTTACAGGGATAGAAGCTGTCTTCTGGAGCCCCCCAGCATGCTCTGCCTACTCAGTCAGGAGCAAAGGCGTACTTCAGAAGAAATGGCTGACACCACACCATATGAAAACATATGGTATTACTGTTTCCACACTTCCCAAGCCCTAATGCAACACCACTCAATTTCTGAGTGGACAACACCAAACAAAATTTCCATAGCTGCATGCTAGCAGGAGTCAAACAGGAAAGCCATGGCAGAGGGATAACGCTGAATTCGTTTTTTGACACCATCAGTAACACAGCTCAAGCCCTGCATGCACAGGAATATACTGGGCCACTGAGAGAAGTGTTATTGGCATGAGACACTGCACCACCACTTGCAAAAATTCAATACCAAGTGTCTCGTCTCAGCACAAATTCATTACTCTCACCTAACCATTATGACACAAACAACATCAAAAGGGTCACTCACTAAGCAGCAAGTCCGTACAAGAAGTGTCTGTCTGTTATCACAAGTCTTGCACCAAGATAACAATTCTTTTTTTTTTTTT